ATATCTGTGCCATTAAGATAACAATTATACAAAGAATAGTAGATTAGGAATTCAGAGACATGTGTTATGAAAAAACAACAAACACATACACAGAGCTAGAAATAAAATAGTTGCACTTAATTTTTACTCTGTTTTGAATGCTTTTGAAAAGATGGATTTGAAGGTGTAGGGCAAAGGGTTGTTGGGGTATTTATAGGAATTGAAAAACAGTTGATTGTAAGTATGATACTTATAGATGCACAGGATTTTGGTTAATCAAATTGAACTGTACATACATGAATTACTTCAGTGAAAGATCTGTCAATCAGTAATTGACTGCATGTCGCTGATCATTTCTTCCTCCTACACCACACCTTTACTCTGTGCTTCCTAGCTCTCTAACTCCAACGGTCCAAACTTAACACCATTATCCTCAGCAAAAAAAAACCCTTTAAACAGGCAAATGCATACCTGGATCATTGCTCCTGTCCTCATTAGGCAGGTTTAGTTCATATGTTCTTAGCCCTGTGCAGAAAGTACTGGTACAGGTCAATAACGTACATTTATGGTATTTAGTTAACAGGTGGCTCTCTTGTGCAGTTTATGTGATTTTGGATTAACATTAACAGAGGGCAGTATTTTTCCATAGGTTTATGCTGTGCTGAAGTACTTTTATGATTATTTACCCTACTAACTATAGCAATAAAAACTACTACAAACAGTATTTGAGCTGAATAGCCTGTGATGTGGTATAGGTCTTAGGGCAAGCCCTAATTTTCCTTCTGAGTTTAAATGGGAGCTATAGCAACGCCATTGACTCAAACTCTAACATGAATCCTACCATTGTTCTATAGGTTAATGTTGACATTAAGCCCCCAGTGTTGTTTCTGGGCTGGGTGCACAGAGGCTGCAGAATTCTTGGCTCCACAAGCTGGACCTTTAAAAGTGGCACTCACGATCTCTATTTTTGGTTGGGAACATGGGCTAGATTGAAAGTCGTGGCCGGGCAACCTAGGAAGATCTGATGAGGGTGCCAGTTGCTGAGGTGGGCTGGGAAGAAAGCTTGCCTCAGGGATCCAGCATCGTATCCAAAATATAAAATACGAAACATTCTTTCAACTCTCATACCATTCACCCTGCCTCAACTTTGTCCAGGTTGTCTGACCAGTGCCAATCCAATTGGTCCCTCCAGGACTGAAAGTGGGGAGTGCCAGTGGCCATTTTTAAAAGTAAGATTCATGGAAACTGGGAATTCCCCTACAACTGCACTCCTCGTCGGGGAACAGAATCAGGGCTGACCTCCATATTAGCTGTGACTAACCCTGACCCTCACTTGAATGCCCCTCTACCTATCACGTTGTTATTGTACGTTTAAGAAATAGGATCCAGTGTGAGGCATCTTGTAGCATGCCCTGTTTGGCTTGTTTCTACATGTTTAAAACTTCAATTTGTTTTGCACACAACACTGCTGGAAGTGTGATTTGACAGTAGCATAGCAAGGACAAGAAAGTATTTGGGACCTTGCTGAACAATAGGACAAAATATGTACTCCTTATGTGTTGAAATAGACTTTTAAGAAATATTGAAAATAGGCCTGAGGTGGAGGATAAATTCGATGGGTGAATGCAAATCAAGTGCTGCAAATAAAATAATGAAGGAAAGAAATTCTGGATTAAAAGGTAGTGAGAAAGAGGTGGAAATTGGACTGGACAGAAGGATAAATTTAAATTATGATAGTATTAAAATCTTCAGTAATAATTCTCAACACTTCTCATTGTTCATTTTCTGCAAAATGTTTTGTTTGGTAGACATTAATAATCACCATGTAATTAAAATAAATAATTTTTACTGTTATTTACTAGATTTAACTTTCTATGGAAAGCTTAATGGAGAATTAATGTACAAAAGCACAGCTTCACGAAAATTATGAGGACTTTAACAGCAAGTTACTATTTATGTGAAGCCAATAATGGAGCAATACAAAATGTCCAGTAACTTGGGGCAACATACATTAACAAGTGGTATCTCCTCCTTGCCACAGGTTTCTGGTGGATTACATTAACACATTGCCATTTTTTTATTATTCATCCTGGGATGAGGGTGTCACTGGCTAGGCCAGCATTTATTGCCCATCCCTAATTGTCCAGTGGGCAATTAAGAGTAAACCACATTGCTCTGAGTCTGGAGTCACATGTAGGCCAGACCAGGTAAGGATGGCACTTTCCTTCCTCAAAAGGTATTAGTGAACAAGATGGGTTTTTTCTGACATTTATGGTTGCCATTAGATTCTGAATTCCAGATTTTTATTGAATTCAAATTCTACCATCTGCTGTGGTAGGATTCGAACTGGGGTCCCCAGGGCATTACCTGGGTCTCTGGATTAACAGTCCAGCAATAATACCACTAGGCCATTAGTACCCTTATTATTTACATGCTTTTTAATTTTTCAATAAATTCTGGAACATTGTTTAATAAGAACATTAAGAACATAAGTACTAGGAGCATGAGTAGGCAATTTAGCCCCTTGACTCTGCTCCGCCACTTATACAATAATGGCCAATCTCCACTTTCCTGCTCCCTGCCCATAACACATTAAACAGTTGCTAATTAAAGATCTGTCAATCTCCTCAAATTTATTCAGTGTCCCAGCATCCACTGTACTCTGGGGTAGTGAATTCCACAGATTCACAACACTTTGAGAGAAGTAATTCCTCCTCATCTCTGTTTTTAATCAACAACTCGTTAGCCTAGAACGATAGCCAACTCAATACCAAATATTATATAATTAACTGGAGAGTGAACCATCGCAACAAAAGATAATTTGCACTTTTGAAATGAGTTTGATATTTTATAATGCTTGTAATTGACATATAAACCAAAAATGTTGGGATTGGATCTTAGGTGAACAGGGCACCAATCAAAGTATTGAGTTGACAATTTACTTGTCCCTGGGGGGCACGGACAATTAAAAGTTGAGTGAGGTCCTTCAGGCTTTATTGCAATCAATGTAAGAAGAGATAACTTGAAGATAAAAGCCATGGGAAATGCAATTTTCTGTTGTAAGTGGCTGAAGAATCTCATGTGTAAAGCTTCATTTGGAACTTTGTATGAGAATAGGACAAAGCAGATTGATGAAGAAACATGCTTGGAAAGTGTTTAAGTCTAATTTGAATCTGGTAGTTGTTCGTTATAACGTAATACAATTGTGCACAAGATTTGTTTGTTTTTCAGCTAACTGCAGGCAAACAATAAAACGGTCCCGATTAATTTGAATATAATTAATGTGAAATGATTAATAAAACTCGAGTCATGGAATTTTCATACCACAGAAAAAGGCCCTTCAATTTATTATTTCTGTGACAGTCATCAAATATCCATCGATTCCCAGCACTTAGCCAATAGCCTTGTTCGCAAGGTATTTCAAGTGTTTATCTAAACATTTGTTAATCTTTTGAGAGTTCCCACCTCTTCCACCTTTTAATGCAGTGAATTCTGGATACCAAAATCACTCTAGGTGAAAATATTTTTCCTCAAATTCCCTCTAAACCTTCTGCTACTTATCTTAAAATTGGTTATTGACCACTCTGCTAAAGAAAAGGGTTTCTCCCTATCTACCTGTTTGTGCCCCTCAGAACTTTGTACACCTCAATCAGGCCCCCCTTGGCCTTTTTTGCTCTAAGGCCAACAACCCCAGCCTATCCACTCTCTCTTCATAGCTGAATCATTGCAGCCAAGGCATCTTCCTGGTGAATTTTCTGGACCCTCATTAGTGCAATCACATCTTCCCTGTAGCGTGGTGACCAGAACTGCACACTGTACTCCAGCTGTGGCCTATCTACCGTTATATGCAGCTTCATTATAACCTCCTTGCTCTTGATTTCAGGGTCTTGACTAATAAAGGCAAGTATCCCCTATGCCTTCTTAACTACCTTACTTACTGAACAGCCGTATAGTTCTCTAGGACGATGATGCCTTTACCTTTACCTTACATACCAGTCCTGCTGCCTTCAAAGATCTATGCACACCAAGATCCCTTCTTCCCTCTGCACTTCCTAGGGTAATACCATTCAACGTGTACTCTCCTGACTTGTTAGTCCTCCTAAGAGGTATGATCTCACACTTTTCAGAATTAAATTACATTTGCCGTTGTTCAGCCCATCTGACCATTTTGTCTATATCACCCTCTAGTCTAAGGCTTTCCACTACGCCATTCAACACACCATCAATTTTTGTGTCATGTGCAAACATACTAATCAAAGCTCAACATTCATCCTATAAAATAGTACATGGTCTGGAGTAGCCAAGTCACCACTTTATCTGTGATAGCTAACAAAATCCAACTGGTCAGAAGACATAAACTACAAAAAGCATTCAAACAGCATGTCTTCTAATGATGCTTCATGATATTATCTTTATTTATGCCACCTTGTTTGGCAAGAGAGAATCATGTAGTTCTATTGGATGTGCCTGGCATAGTTGAATAGCTGGAAGTGTGTGGAGGTTGTGAGAGCTGGATGTGAGGTTGTTAGCATTAGTAAATGTCAGGGTGAGGTATCTGATTACAAGATTTAAAACCTGCTACATTATGAAATGTGTTTGAAGTGATTGGGCCAATGATCAAAATACTTGGGGGATTTTCTGACCTAACAAAATAGAGAATTTTCCTCTGAGGCATTTCCAACAATATTTGAGGAATTTAGGATGATTGCCAATTCCAGGAGTGTTAGTAAGCAAAATGAAAGCTACCATCAAAATGCATATATTTGAAAAATGCAGGACAGACTTTCCTCTCAACTAGAGTGTAGGTTTGGAGTGCTGTAGTAAAGCTAATTTTATAGTAAAGTTGATAGGAGGGGGATGGATATTAGATTTATTTCATAAGACATCCCTGAACATTTTTGTTGTTATTTTCTCAGGTATGTCTCTGACCTTGAAGTGAATCAAATGGCAGCAAGAATAATATTGAGCTATTGTCTGGACTCTACTCTACCAAAATCTTCAACTGCTGGATATAGTGACTCTGCACATCTGGAGATGAGCTTTGATAATGGCAGCAATTTTGGTAGCAATGATAGCAGTTGCCATTTCAATGAAGAATTCAAATACATCTTATTGCCAGTGTCCTATGGAACAGTATTTGTGGTTGGCCTTGTTCTCAATGCCGGTGCACTGTGGATCTTTATATGCAGGCTGAGACCATGGAATGCCACTACAACCTATATGTTTAACTTGGCCCTTTCAGACTTTCTATATGTGCTATCTCTGCCACTCCTCACATATTACTACGCTAATCGGAATGATTGGCCATTCGGTGTGGTCCTATGTAAGTTAACCCGCTTCCTTTTCTATGCCAACCTTTACTCCAGCGTCCTTTTTCTTACCTGCATCAGTGTGCACAGATTCATAGGCATATGTTACCCTTTCCAATCTCTCAAATGGATTAAAGTGAAGCGGGCCTGGGTTGTATGCCTGCTTGTCTGGGCAATCGTCATCATCTGCCTCATTCCCAATTTGCTTTTCGTCACAACAAGCAAATGGGCTGATGACACACTCTGTCACGACACAACTCGTAGGGAAGATTTTCCTCAGTATGTTTCATACAGTTCTGCTATCATGGTGATTCTCTTTATCATACCATTCTTCATCATTGTCATCTGTTACAGTTTAATGACCAAAGAATTGGTCAAAACCCCTATATCTAAATCCAGTAGAACTTCACACGATGTTAGAAAGAAATCCATTAAAATGATCATCATCGTTTTGTTTGTCTTTTCCTTGTGTTTTGTACCTTTCCACATCACAAGGACAATGTACTACACCTTCAGGGTACTTGATAAGAGCTGTTACTCACTTAACATTGTGAACTTCACATATAAGATCACAAGACCACTGGCCAGTGTCAACAGCTGCATTGACCCTATCTTGTACTACCTGGCTGGAGACATTTATCGAAAAAAGGTTGTGCATGCTGTGATTAGGAGAAAAGGTTGTGTTCGCCGAACTGTATCAAACATGGACAGCAAAATGAATGAAAAGTCAGTGATTAACACTGGTACTCTCTATTTCATCACTCAGGATCAGAGGTGAGGCTGATGCAATCAAGAAAATCTCTTATCTTTTAGGTCAACAATCATCAGAAAGGCCCAAAATGATCGGTAACGCACTAAATAGAAGTTTCCACACTGATGCAGACTGATGGGTCTGGGTACCACCGACATTCTGACTTAACTTGTTGTGGCCCAAGCCAAACATTGCTAACTGCAGTGATCAAAGACAATCATGTGAAGACAATAACTTGTTCAGCTGAGAAATGCAAATCAATGTAAATGGATCCCTATTCAAGTGCCTACTATAGCACTTTTCAAACCCACGACTTCTTGAAGGACAAGACCGACAGATGCATAGGAACACCATCAATTGCAAATTCCTCTCCAAGTCACGTATCATCTTAATTTGTAAAACTCTATCACCATTCCTTCACTGAGCCTGGATTACTATCCTGAAACTTCCTAACAGCACCATAGGTCTACCTACTCTACATGGATCATAGCAGTGTGGCTCAGCATCACCATTTTGAGAGGAATTACACTGGACAACAAAAAATGCTGGCCTTGCCACTCACATCCCATCAAAGAATAATCTAAAAGAAAAACAAATTTCTTACACCTCTAAGCAGGTTTCTCAATTGTTGTCAAGACCAAAATGAGTGACGTTTGGACAGGATTATCATTTATGGAAAACTGAACAAAAAATAGAATGTAGACTGTATTTTCCAGTCATTATGTCATGTCAAAATTCAACTTTTATAGGTGATATATTTATTTTAACACATTTAGCAATAGTTTCCATTTTGGTTCATGAACCTGACATTGGGATCAAATGTAGGTCCTTACCATGTGCCACGTTGAGAATAGCAATCCAATAAGTCAGGTTTTCAGGATTGAACAGTTATTAGCCAAAGGCTGTGTTTACCATCCAATTGAAGATGGTGGAATAGTTAAAACTGAAGGACCAATAGGATACTTACAGGAAAGAACAGGTGAGGTCATCTTAATCTTTTGTGCCTTCTCTGTGCTTTGAAAGGCTTTGAAATAAATAATGCTCGCATTTGCTGGACTTCCGCCACGGTACCCTGTGGCCGCTGTGATGGGCAGATAGGTGGATTGGGCTGGGGTACTCCAGATGATCCAGAAGCATTACCCTCTCACCTCCCCTACCCCACTTTGCTATCAAGAAGCTCCTCCAGGCATACGCAATGTTCTCCTAGTGGTCCTTTGATCAATGACGTTAAGTGATATTTTAACCTGTTCTGCACTCAATATGGCCTTCAGAAAAAAAAGTTTGAGTAGGATGATGCCAGTACACTGGCATGTTGGTCAGTGGTGCAGAATTATGCACCCATCTGCCTCAGTTCCTGTCCCACAGGACTACAACAATCCTGCCCATTATGTCTCTTACTGCTTCTCTGGCAAGAATGCCTGCTACATGTGTTTCAAATGATTTTTTTTTCCTGATACTTCCTGTTTGCTGCTCAATATGGCTCTACTATATTTTGTACTAAGTCTTTTTAATGCAGGTTTTTGGGCTGATTTCAAAACAGACTTAGATTCATCCCCTGAGTCGAAGCTACAGTGACATTATTTAGATTTTTTTCAGTTTTGTTTTCATACTCATGTATAGCCTAGTCTATTTTCTTTGTTTCTCATTTGTTTGGCAGTGAATTTCATTTTGGAATAGATTGAATTTGCTTTCTTTAGATATATTTATGTCAATGTTGCAATAAAGGGCAAAAATATAGTGAAAAAATTAACTTTTGCTGTCCATGTTGCCTCTGCAAAAATTAAACTAGCCTGCTGAAGAACACTGATGACCACCAATGCAATAGCATTTAGTTGAAGCCCCTCCTCTCTTAGTTTCTGTTGTAGGGATGAGAGTATCAACCATCTCAACCATCTCAGCCTAAACAGGTCAGGTGGCTACCTGGGTGAAGAGCTATCACGAAACTGATGGTGAGAGCTGGGAGTATTTCAGTATGCATTACTTCCTGCAGCTGTGTGCCTGCACAATGTGCAATTTTGAAGTAGATTTGTATTTTAAACAGCTATAAAATCAAAGGAACACAAATTGTCTATGAAATGCATATTTGTTTTCCTGGAGGTTGATCCTGTCTATCAGAATGTTAATGAAATCAGTCTATTTTTCAACTGTGAACACTTTTGAACTGAAGCCAATAACCAGGAATTAATAATCAATACTTACTATAGCAACTAACTATCATTGATACAGAGTCAAGAGTGACTGCAAATATTTTAAAGATTATTCTTGGAAGAGAATGGATCATATTTCAAGTCATTCAATTCACATTCTAAATGGATGCATTGATCTTATAGCACTCAGCTATCAGGAGGTGATGACCTAATGGTAACATCGCTAGACTGATATTCTAGAGATCGAGATAATGTCATGGCAACCTGGGTTTGAATCTCACCATGGCAGATAGTGGAATTTGAATTCAAGATAAAAGGAAAATCTGGAATTAATAGTCCAGTAATGGTCATGAAACCATTGCTGTAAAAGTGCAACTGGTTCACTATGTTCTTTAGGGAATGAAACTGCTGTCCTTACCTGATCTGGCCTACATGTGACTCCAGATCCACAGCAACATCGTTGATACTTAACTGCCCTCTGAAATGGCTTATCTGAGGGCAAATAATAATGGGCCATTAATACTGGCCTAGCGAGAGATGCCCAATTTCTGTTGGGTTAAAATGAAATTCAGTATGTCTTCACAAAGCAACAATGGAAGTGTTTCACATTGTGGAAAAGAATAAAAAAGTAATTGAATTAACATAATTAGGTTTAAGATCTGTTAATAAATCTTGAATTTAAACTATTAATTTCTGTGAGACGATAAATAGAAAACTAATAAAATATCACAATTTTGTCGTCCTTGGTAAAGTTTTAAAGTGTATTGTACGTCTGGGGTTATTGAAAGCTACGATCGAGTGAAAATATTTTGAAAGCCTTTGTACACCCTCAAGAGCAACTCAAAACATTAATACACAAAAATGAAGCAAATGAAAACCTAAAGTACAAGATTGAGTTGATAGACAAGTGATGGGGAAGCTCAGCATCAATTTGATGGGAGGTGAATGAGACATGGTGTGCCTGAGATAGCTGTAAGGAGGATGTCCTCTGCATCATCCATTGATACCATTCTCATTGGGTAGCATTACAGCACGATACAAGGAAGTGGAATGAAACTTTAGACCTCAGTAGGTTGATTACTTTCATTGAATGCAGCAACCCTGGATTTTTGAAATGAATTGAATTGAATCATTTATTGTCATGTGTATTCAATATAAAAATATAGTGGAAAGTGTGTACCTTTGCTGTACATACATGGCGCCATTTGCATTAACTTAGAATAAGATAAGAAAAACAAAGATAACTTAAGAGAGTCCAACTTTCCTTTCCACTGTCACAGTTCCACTCCGGGCTTTCCAGCCCTTGCCATGCCTCCGCCAGAGTCCCGATCCAGGTTTTCCAGACCACGCCATGCCTCTGCCAGGGTTCTGCCCTGGGCTTTCCAGCCCATGCTCGGCTGCTGCCAGTGTGCCACTCTTGGCTGCCGCACCAGCCCACTCTTGATCCACTGCCATCGCTCCGGCCCATGCTCGATCACCATTGCTGCAGGACACAACCCGCGCATTCAGCTCCCACAACGTGGTTCCCCATTGTGACCTGGCTCCTTCCTGACTCCTTACTACTGAGGGAGAGAAAAGAAGGGAGAAAAAAGGAAGGACAAAGAAAGGGAAAAAGAACCAGAGAATTGCTCAGACAACAGTTAAGAGTCAACCACATTGCTATGAATCTGTAGGCCAGACCAGGTAAAGGGCATTAGTGAACCAGATGGGCTTTTTCAACAATCAACAATGGATTCATGGTCATCATTGGACTTTTAATTTCAGATATATATTGAATTCAAATTCCACCATCTGCCATGGCAGGATTCAAACTGGGGTCTCCAGAACATTGCCTGTGTCTCTGGATTAACAGTCCAGCTATAATATCAATAGGCTATCGCCTCCGTTGCATGGTGACTGGTCATTGCTACAGATAGCAGAGGACTACATTGCCTGTCTCTAGGTCCAAACATAGAAAAACTGTTCATGACAACTATTTATAGGCAGTTGTGCCACAACTAATAATACAGTTAGTGATAGTTTGACAGGTAAAACTTATCAGACATCAGTGAATAGTGGTTACATTTTTTTTTGCCAGAGATTTTAATGGTTTTTCCTGCCAAAATCATAATTGATGTACTGGAGACAGTTTGTGGGAATTCATCTAATTGATATTCAGGTCAAATTACTCAAAGATACAATAATTTTACACCTGGGTTATACTATCACGTGGTAGTATGGGCATATGCCTGAACAGATGGCATGGGGGCTGCTTACGAAAATTGTTATGACTCAGTTTGATAGTGTTCTGCAAATCAAGCTCCACTTCTGTTAGAGTTGTCACAAATGTGAAAAATTGATTAAACCGCCACATTGTCTAATTCTACTTTACTGTCTAATTCAGGTTAAAGAATATGCACACTAAGTTTTTTTCTTATTAACAAGAAAAACTATTTCCTGGAAAAAAACCTTTTTTAAACCAACAGCAAAAAGTAGATCAGATGAACTGCTAATCTATAATGTTGTAGAGACTATATCTTTTTATTTTTCTATATTTTTGATCATGGATTGGAATGGGAAAAGGACAGCTTTAAAAATCAAGGATTGCTGCAGATTTTGAAAGCAAGCTACTAGCACTTACTGTGGAGGCCATTTATACCTATTTGTTCAACCGGTGGTGGGGTAGAGGATAAGCCACAGATGAATTGGCTCCAGAGGGTGCAAATGAAGGGAGATTCATCTGGTGGCAAGAGGTTGATCGGTCTGTGGAATAATGAACAATTGTCCAATGACAAAGGCCTTTTGCCTGTCAACAGCTTTGTGATTGACTCTCAGGTAGCTAAACAGCTTGTGGGTATAAATGATATAGCCAGAAGCCTTCGGATTCCTGAAAGAAAAACT